TACGATTTCTGGACCTCCTTGCATGATTTTTGGACCTCCTTGCATGACTTTTGGACCTCCTTGCATGACTTTTGGACCTTCTCACACTCCCCCCAGACAGTCAGTGGGTCAGTTCTTTGCTGTGGGTTGAGGTGGAGCTCTCCAGTGTTGCCAGGTTGTGTTTTGGGGGTAAAAAAAAAGCAGCATAAGGGGCAAGAAGAGGCTCAAACAGCAGAAAAGCTGGGTTTTGTGCTGTGCTGCTGCCTGAGCTGGGTCAGAGCAGGTGCTGGGAATGGTGGCAGCCAGAATTTCACCCCGTGGAGCTGTGGGAGCTCCTCTGCCTCTTCCCCCACTCCCAGAGTCCTGCTGAGCCTGACTCAGGTCCCTCTCCCTGCCTGGGGAGAGGTGACTCACCCAGGGGTGGCACACCCAGGTCTGGTCACCCCCACCAAGGCCAGGAAATGCTGCTGCCAGAATTTAAGGATCCATTCCCAGCTCCACCTCGTGGGTCACAGAGAAGAGACCAGTGAGAGGGGCAGAGCAGGGAACATGAGGAGCTTCTTCCCAGCTTCCCTTCCCTCATATCCCAAATCCCACCCCCTTCTTCCCACGTCAGTGAAAACCAAACCAAACACACCTTGCTTGGAGCTGATCTCTATTTCAAAAGAAGGCTGCTCCTGTAGGAATAAAATATCAACACTGGCACGGGGTGGGAAGCAAACCCTGAAAAACTTTTTGCCACCCAGTTGCTTTCTTCCCTCCTTAAATACCCTTAAATACAAATGTCACTACAGCAGCTCCAGCCCCAGGCAGTTGTGAGAACACCTCATGCAACAAAAATTAAAATAAAATAAAAACTAAAATAAAAACTAAACACCCCCCTCCAAAAAAAACAAAAAAACAAAAAAACCCAAAAAAAACCACCCAAAAACCCCGACCCAGAACAGAAAAGCTCTTCCCTGGCTAAGCAGGTCTGGAAACCTCCAGGTTTCCTCACCCCCCCTGGGAAAGGGAAGGGCTTTGCTTGGCCACAGCCCAGCACAGAGTCACCAGCAGCCTCCACTCCAGCAGATTCCCGAGGTTCCAGCCCCGAGTCCTGCCCTGACTTGCAGGCAGAGTGTGGAAGCTGCAGGTTCCTCCGTGGTCAGCGGGTGAGGGAGGGCAGAGGCAGAACATTCCCAGGATCGCTGCTCTCTGCCTGATTTACAGCAGCAAAAAAGCCAAAAAACCCCCCCCCAAAAAACACCCAAACCCATCCACAGCCCTGGAAGGTCCCAGGCAGAGCCACCCAGACTCTGCCCAGGGCTCACAGCCTGCCAGGGGACACAAATCCAGCTTTCCCTGGGACCCCGCGGGCATTGCTCAATTCCTGCCACCGGACAACATCCAGGAGAACTCACAGGCTTCCCACGGGCCCCTCAGGGCACGGTCCCAGCTGCTCCAAGCGCCTCCTGCTCTCCTTAAACTCCTGCTCTCCTTAAACCAGGGCAAGCCGGGACCCGTCCCCTTCCCAAGGAGAACCGGCGGGAGCAGGAACGGCTCCGGGGGCTGTTTCCCGATATAAAAGGCAACAAAAAAAAAAAAAAAATAGAAACCAAGAGCAACTGTGGCTTGCTCCATTTAATTTCAATTAACTGCAGCCCTCAGAGGCCCGGGGAGGTGCCAATCCAGCAGCTTGGTGGCCGTGCCCTGGGGGATGTCCCGTCGAAGCCTCTGCTCTGCTCAGCTGAAAGTTTTAACGAGTCGTTAAATCCCACTGCGTTAAGCTAATAAAGGCTTTAAAACCCGCAGTTTTTTTTTTCCTCTGGAGGATGAGTGAACAGTGGGAAGGACACAGGGTCAGGAAAAAGGCCCCTTCTCTGCAGGGGGGGCTCGGGTACCTTGGGATGCTCCCGACAGTGAGCAGAGCTACTGGATCCTGTTGGAAGGACTTTGGGTGGGGAAGGAGAAGAAGAAAAGGAGAGACTCGTCCCGGGTGTGCTAGAACCTCTCCTCCCTCCCTAGGTGGGGAAACAGGTAGCTTACTTGCAAAAGGCAAGTGGTTTCCTAAAAAAACTACCGGAAAAAAAAAAAAAACAAAACCAAAAACAAACCCACAAAGGCTGCTCAGCCCCCTCCCCCTTAGAAAAGTGTAAAAACCCCCGGGGACACAGTGTGGGAGGGCAGCAGGAGGGCACAGCTGCCACCTCTGGGCCGTGCCACGGCCAGGGCAGGGTCCAGAGAAGGCCTGGCTGGGACTTTGGGTGCTCCCTGGAAAGCTCAGCTCCTCCGTGCCCGGGTGCTGGGTGGGCACTGGGCGGGCACTGGGCGGGCACTGGGCGGGCTGGCCGGTCCCCACGCTGCCCAGGCAGCTGCTGGTACGGTGGCAAATCCTGCCCAAGGAGGCCTCGAGGCTGTGGGGTGGCTGTGGTTGCTCTGGGGGGGAGCAGTGCCAGCCCGGGCTGCCCCCCCTGCCAGGGCAGGGCTCCCCTCCCTCAGTTGCTCTCCACCAGCTTGGCCAGTCCCTGCCGGATCTCGCTGAGCTCGAAGATCTTCACGTCCATGATCTCGGCCACCTTGGTCACCTCGCTCTGCATCTTCTCCCTCTCTGCCAGGGTCTCTGCCAGGCTCTGCTCGGCCAAGTGCAGCCGCTGCTCCAGCTCGGCGTTCCGGGCCTCCAGCTCCTGCCAGGGGCACACGGGGAGGGGTGGGCACGGGGAGGGGGCTGCTCTGCCCTGCCCACACCCCCCTGTCTCCCCAAAACAGCCCTAACCCCAATCATAGAATCACAGAATCACGGAATCAGCCGGGTTGGAAGGGACCT